ACTGGTTAGAGCACTCGCTTTGCAAGTGAGAGACCTGAGTTCAATTCCAGGCAGAGGGCGAAACCTTGGGCAAATTTCCTTACTCCACACAGAGCCTAATAATAATCCCTCCAAAAAAACAAAACAATAATAAATTGGTCATTTTTAATCTACGACTGTTTGTGGGACATTGCTGTGCGCAATTGGCTGCCGCGTTTGCCCACAAATATACAGTCAATTCACTTTACAGTGTGTTCTGTGAAGCGCTTTGGGACGTCCTCCCGACGTGAAAAGCGCTATATCAAATGCAAGGATTATTATTAATATTATGAAAACTTATAGCTGTACACTTCTGTCCACAAGGTTTGAAAAAAAACACTTTTGAAAATGTAAGCGAGTTTGTTAATGTTGATCGCAAAGTGAATTTGGAAGCCATGTATTCAAACAAAATGTGAATAATGAAGATTTAAAATGAGTTGAAGAACAAAAAAAGGAAACTCTTAAAGTAGTGCAGATGCAGGAAAAGCTTCAATCTGCAATACTGAAGAAAATTTAAAGAAGGATATCAAGGCCTTGGAGAGGGTGCAGAGGATGTACCAGAATTATACCAGGATTAGGGACTTTAGTTATGTGGAGAGTCTAGAGAAGCTGGGATTGTTCTCCTTAGAGCAGAGAAGGGGAGATTTAATAGAGGTGTTCAAAGGTTTTTTTTGATAGGTTAGATGGGAGAAACTGAAAGGGAAGTGGAAACATATTCAGTAACAACTTTCAAAAGGGAATTGGATAGTCACTTGAAAAGGAAAAACTTGCAAGGATAGAAAGAGCGGAGGAGTGGGACTGATTGGGTAGCTCTAAAGAGCCGGCACAGGCACGATGGGCTGAATGGCCTCCTTCTGTCCTGTATATCCTATGATTCTATAAATGGTTTAATTTATTTACTTTTTTCACTCTCCATTTTCTCTCACCTGTGCCACTAACTTGTATGCCTGTTCAGGTTCCATTTTACCCCCTTTCTCTCCCCTCCGCCCAAGGTGGAACACCCAACCAAGAACAGTCCCCAATGACCGGGTATACAGATGTCAAGCAGGCTTGGGAATTGGTCACCTGGTCTGGCAGCCATGCAATCTCTGCATGACTAGAGTCTACACTGACTTATCATAACACTTCCATTCACACTATCCGCTAACCACAGCACATCTGCAAAAAATCTTCCAACAAGCATTTTGGACAAATTGCCAAATTAAAGCGAACCTTAATAAAACATCACGTCGCACCATTGACATTCAACAGCCGCGACTCTTATTTCTCTGTATTCGCCGGAAAGCTAACCAAACAGTCAAACTGATGTTGCCAATGAATGTCTTCAATTCCAACCGTAGGTTCAAAATGTTACACTTTCCATTGTCATATCATTTCTTATATGGAAAACAGATTTGTTCACTGTAACCATGCATTCAACTGCACAAAAACATCTTTGGATATGATCCAGTGCACAGCACAGCAACATCGTCTTACAGAATTGCTGTTCAGAGTTGTTTCACACAAGTCACTGCTCACTCCCACACAACACATGTAGAGAGCTTTTCATTCCAGTATTGCTGAAGGACAGTATCTTAATCCCACACTGTCGCAGAAAGCCCACATTCCCCTCACACCAAAAAAAACCTCTAGAAAAATTATTTGTACTCCTCTCTCTTGACCGCCGAACCTCTGGTGAAAAATTGTTAAGGAGCAACAAATGGAGAAAGCTAGAACAGTTGACATTATGCATGTGGTTGGCGAGGATAACCCTTTGGTAACTCGTGGTGGAATGTTGGGATTTCAATGCAACAGCACAGAATAGGAAGTAAAAGTCTGTCACATGCTTGGTTGGTGCAGAAATCATTTGGTCTGCTTCGCTCTGATTACGTTTGTAGCCCCGATTCCCCCATCTGAACCTGGTTATGCATGGCAGTTCCATCCAGGAATAAAAAACACAAGGGGCTCTGATTTACAGGAGACCCAAGCTATAAGTAAGACAGTGCTGTATCAAAAGATGGTCCAATGGGGTTCCCCAGTACTGTATTTGAATATCGGCTATTTCAAATAATTTTCTGTTTCTTATGGTTGACTTGTGGCCACGCACTTCATCACAAATCAAACTGCGAGCCTCCCCAAAAACAGTATAGACAGCAATGCTTAACCATCCCAGTGGGGGCGTGATATATATGAGCCAGCAGACCAGATGTTTGGTCGGCTCCCAAGCATGAGACAAAGTTTTATTTTTGTATTATGTTCTATCCAGTGCCAGGAGAAAGCAGGAGCAGAGGAAGTGACACAAACGACCTCATGTTGGAGGTCACATCCGCCTTCTTATAACTCCTGCCAGATCCACTGCCAGTTCTACTATTTTTAGGTAATTTTGAAAAACATCTGCCACTACTAAAGTGGTTTCGTTTCAATAAAATACTTACGAAAATGAACAAAAAGTAAATAATAATAATTTGGTCACTCAATCCGCGCCTGTTTGTGGGACACTGCTGTGCGCACATGGCTGCCTCCTTACACCCACAAAATATACAGTCAAATCACTTTACTGTATATTCTGTGAAGCGCTTTGAGATGTCTTGAAGATGTGATAAGGCGCTATATCAAAATGCAAGGATTAGGAGAGACAGTGAACAGTGGGCAGATTCAAGTGAAAGGCTTCATTCAATCTGTTGTAAATAATCATTAATTAGTTTGTAACAAATTCTGAGGAAGCACATTTTCAGATAGAATCATTCTTGCAACAAAGGGCAGGTTAAACACATTGGAATTTGATTATGTTGGTTTACATATTTATTGTCTTAATCTTTGCCTCATTATTATAACCATAAAATGTTCACAATAATGTACTGGAAATATTTTTTAAAGTAATCAATCATTGATCAAATCTCATGGAAACATTTTAGTTGTTGCCAGCATAAAGATTTAGCTGAAGAGGAAAGAATACATGTTCGAAACAATTTTTAAATTAAAACTATGCTTCGCTGTACTTTTCTCCAGTTACAATTCTGGCTGCTGACCAGGTGGTCAAATCCCAGGGATGCTAACTCACTTCAATCCACCAAGCAGCTCATTGAAAGTCTCTACCAGAGTAAACATCTTGTGCTGAATATTTAGTTCAAACATACTAGCCAGAGGACATACCGCAGTGATCAACAGTGAATCTTGGGGAAATCCTTAGGTAATTTGGGGAAACCATCTGCCACCAAAGTGGTTTTGTTTCAGTAAAACATTTATAAAAATGAACAAAACCAGCATTATGAGCAGGGAGTGAGTGGGTGCTTCTCATTACGCTGAGGGATTGAGGATGAGTGATAGTGGAACTGGCAGGAACTTTAAGGAAAGGGATGTGACCTCCAACAGGAGGTCATTTATGTTACTTCCTGTGCTTCTGGTTTCAAAACTGTTTCATAGCAGGAAGTCTCAGGCAGAAACCCAATTCATTGGAGACACAGATTCAAGATAATTGGCAAAAGAACCAGAGGGGAGATGAGGAGCATTTTGTTTTACACAGAGTTGTTACGGTCTGGAATGCACTGCCTGAAAGGAAGGTGGAAGCAGATTCAATAACAACTTTTAAAAGGGAATTGGATAGATAGTTGAAAAGGAAAAAATTGCAAAGGATATGGGGAAAGAGCGGGGGATTGTGACTGATTGGGTAGCTCTTCCAAAGAGCTGGCACCGATGGGCAGAACGGCCTCCTTCTGTGCTGTAATATTCTATGATTCTATCACATGGAGCTGAACAATGTAACTCCTATCATACACACTGCAGAATGTTTAAGGGGACTAACTGCATAACTTCAAAATCTAGAATCTGAGGGAAAATATATTCAAAGTGTCTTCTTGTTGAGATAGTACCTTGTTTGGAGACGATGGCAGCTTGAATTGAGATACTTGTTAATAATCTCCAGATCCTTGCAACTTTCTTTCAAATGCTATCTGTCAGCCTTACCCCAGAGGTTCAAGAACACAGCAAATTAAAGGGAGGTCATCTCACCCTTTCTGGTTAGATTAATACTGAAAGCCATTTTTGGGTATGCTTGTAATTCGAACATTTTCTGCCTGAAAGCTGAGGGGGTGGAAGATTTACAAAAGTTATCCATCTACAGGAATGCCTAGAGTAGAATAGGGGTTAACTAAACAAGGGTAGGTAGACCAGAGAGGTCAATGCTTCTTACACAAGCACTTCCAACTGAGTCAAGCTCCATGTAACAAACCCACCCCACAAGAATCTGTAAAACTGATTCACACCAAGATACAATGGGATCTAATGTGGAAGCTTTACAAAGGGCCATAGAGGTCCTCTCATGTGTCTCAGGGCATCTTTCAGAATTCCACTTGTCAGCTGAACCTCCAGTCCAGTTTGAAGGAAGTCAAGGTTGGCATTTGAATGGAATGTCAGAGCGATGGTCTGAAATGCTTTGGGTTATCTTCAGGGTTTGTTCTTTACAAATCCTTCTGTAAATCTGGCCAACAAGCCCAGCCCCAATGTTGCACGAATGCTAGAGGCTCAAAACGCAAGATCCTTGTTAGATCATCAAAGTCAAACATAACAGTAAACAAACCATCATCACAAGCTATGAAAACTAGATACGTTGACTCATCAATAGAGACATCCTGACTATTAAATTGTTTTCTGAACGTCATATAGCAGAGAAACAACTTTGATATCTTACAAAGTAGGAATTAATTTTGTTCAAGATTTGAAAATGACTGCTGATCGCATAATATGCTATTCCTTGAAAATATTGCGAAACATTCCTTCCTTTTAGAAAGAACTGCTTGTATTCAACGGCTGAATCACCCTGGAACTCTGGGCACAACGTATCACCGATATAGAATACAAAATTACATTTGTATAGCGCCTTTCACGTTAGGAGGGCATCCCAAGGTTATGGTACTGTAACTGTTACAGAAACTGTAACCACAGTTGGTTAGGTAAAACATACGACAGATTGTAGCTATAGTATATGCAGAGCTTGCTGTACATACCTGTTTTGGGCTGAGTTTGCCGCTGCTTGCATCACTGCGGCAGCCGCCTCCTGTGCTTTGCGGTTCACAGTCCCCATCGGTGGCCCCATTCCTGCCCCCACCACCATCTGCTGCTGCTGTGACATGTTGGGAGAATTTGAGGTCATGTTGCCTGTGTAGGGCCAGTTGGACATCCCTGACGGTGGCATCCTCCCCACTGTCATGTTACTGCAAGGCTGAGCTGGGCCCTGCCCATGCATCTGGTTGTTGACAGTCATACTCATGCTGTTGCCCATGCCTGGACCAGGACCACTGTAGTTGGTGTTTGGAACTGCTCCATAATTTGGCGGTCTGGGATAATTTCCTGAAACAAACACACACACACAAACAAACAAAATTGAATCAAATCGGTTTGTGCCAGCCTGCAGTCAAGTCTCTACCTGAAAATTGAGTTGTGTCACAATGATGATAATTTGGTCACTCAATCCACGACAGTTTGTGGGACACTGCTGTGTGCAATTGGCTGCCACGTTTCGCCCACAAAATATGCAGTCACCATACTTTGCAGTATATTCAGGTGAAGCGCTTTTGTGACGCCAATTGTGCACGGCAGTGTCCCACAAACAGTCATAGATTGAGTGATCAAATTATTTTGAAGGGTTTATTACTCCCGAAAAAGCTATCTGCCAATCGACTGGATTCCTACTTACTGCTAGGTGAACAAAGCTGTGTGTGGAGTATGGAAACTTGCCGAAGGTTGTCTGAAAGCACTTCAGAAATAATTACGCGAAGTATAGTTACTGGGTTTGAAATACAACAACCAACTTGCATTTATATAGCGCCCCTCACGCAGGGTAGGGTCCCAGAGCGCTCGACAGTGGCTTAGCATGACACCGAGCTGGGGGGAGGGGATGGTGACCGTAGGCACGGTCGAAGAGGAAGGTCTTTGGGTGCGACCTCTGCTGTTTACCCAGCAATAAATAGAAACCCGGGAGTTAATCGATTAGCAGATCACTTTTCAGGGTTAATAACCCCTTCAAAAAACATGTTGTCACACAATCCACGACTGTTTGTAGGACACTGCTGTGCGCAATTGGCTGCCGTGTTTCGCCCACAAAATATACTATCAATTCACTTCTGTGAAGTGCTTTGAGATGTCTCGAAGGCGTGATCAAATGCAAGGATGTGTATGGAGTGGGAAACATTTCACCCTGCCCCGGAATCAGATCCAGGTCCTCTCGCTTTCGAGGTGAGTGCTTTAACCACTGAGCTACAGGACTCCACCAAAACTACGATTTAAACTACTAATGTGACCATCTTATTTCTAAAACACAAATTCATATAATTGAGGACAAAAAGACTACAACGTTACATTTACAACAAAATTTCATCTCTTTACACCTGTCCAAGGTGGGACACGGTTAGTGTGGTGGTTTATCTAACTCAGCATATAGTAACGAGCTGCTTCATAATCCAAACATGATCTAACTAACGAAGCAACTTGAACCTGGACCCTCTCTCCTTCAACACAGTATCTGTGCATATATACACACACACAAACACCACCTGTAACATTGGGCCGCTAAGGCATTTATCTCAGTTAATAAATAATAATAAATATTAAATGTGCCTCGTGGAATACTTCAGATTTATTGCCTTAGTTCTGGATTATACTGCTAATATACTACTACTTCCTTTAAACACTTTTTTCCCCCTTCACACTCCAGCATTAGATTGCCTTGAGTGGGAACAATATCCAGGCACTAGATTCACACTTAACATTCTCAGCCAGAGTTCTTAAACTCTTCCAAGCCCTGCAGGTTTTCTCAAGCTGGTAACTGCCAGTACAGTTTGCACTGGAGATGCTGAGGTGCAGTCCTGTAGTTTAATGATTACTCGCCTCACAAGCAAGAGGACCTGGTTTTGATTCCCAGGCAGGGCGAAATATGATGCAAGTTTCCTTACTCCACACGTCTCGTTTACCTAGCATAGCAGTAAGGAGGAACCTGGTTATTAGTCGATTGGCGGATCGCTTTTCCGGGGATAATAATCCCTTCAAAAATAATAATAATACAGTCATTTAATCCACAAGTGTTTATGGGACACTGCTGTGCGCAATTTCGCCCACAAAATATATAGTCAATTCACTTTGCCGTATATTCTGTAAAACGCTTTGCAACAGTGCGAAGACGTGACATGGTGCTGTATGAAATGCAAGGATTATTATTATGCTCATTTGAAGATTGAGTCTCATCAATCTTTGAAGTATATAACAAGTATTATTATTATACATATTATATAGATGTTGTTTTAACATGAGGAAATCAGCTGTTTACAATCTTCACTGCAACGATTTTTACAGACCAGTAAAATGGATACAATTAGAACCTACATCATGCAGATCTCTGTAAACTGAACATTAACTACAGGCAATCAGTTTAAAAAGTACAGCACCCAGCTGTATTGAGTGGCACTTGCGCTGCCTTTCCTGCTGGGGTTATACCTGGCCTGTGGCTATAATGGGCATTCGGCGTTCAGATGGCAGCACTGACACTCAACTCAGTCTCACTGATACTGAAGTCCTGGCCTTTAAACAAAATTCTGCCATTTCTGCATGCAATCATAAAAATCCTTGCATTTGACATGTTCGAAATGTCTCCAAGTGCTTCACAGCATATACTGTAAAATGTATTGACTGTATATTTTGTGGGCGAAACATGGCAGCCAACTATGCACAGTAGTGTCCCACAAACAGTCATGGATTGAGTGATCAAATTATTATTAGAATACTATACAATGCAATACTACCTAATTGTGACCACATCATGTGCTAATGGGACAATTACATCATACGTTCTCCGCAGCAGTGGAATCCTTCCAGCTGAGCCTAAATATGTCAAATTTGCTCTCCCTTTGCCCCTCTTGGGTTCAACAACATTTATTTATTTACTGTAGAACTTTTTGTTTATCATGCACTTGTTTGCCTTTTGAAGCACAACAATCCTTCTTTTGGTTTGAGGTCCTTTAGTTTTGTTTCAAGTCACAATGAATTGCGCTTGTCTGGTGTATATTTATAAACTTGGCGAATAAGGGCAAATACAGAGAAATTAAATGGGTCATGAAAAAGTTATTTGGTTTTAATTGTTTAGTCCATTTATTTTTGTTTCTCTTCAATACCAAAATAATTTCAGACATAGCCATTTTCAATACATCCAGAAAACATATTTGCTCATTACTCAATGACTTCTACATTTAGATTCAAATGCAAGACTTGTTAAAACTTGAATGAATTCAAAATTTTAAAATGAAGTATCTGGGAAACTAGTACAGATAAAATACTTAAATGACAGTGAAATCCTGTAGCTCAGTGGTTAGAGCACTTGTCTACTAAGCGAGAGGACCTGGGTTCGTTTCCTGGGCAGGGCGAAATGTCAAGGCAAATTGCCTTACTCCACACCCTTCTGTTTACCTAGCAGTAAGTAGGAACCCGGTTGTGAAGTTGATTGGCAGATTGATTTTTTGGGGTAATAATCCCATCAAAAAATACAATAAAATAAAAAATTATTTGGTCACTCTGTTTGTGGGACACTGCTGTGTGCAATCGGCTGCTGCGTCTCGCCCACAAAGTATACAGCACTTTGAGACGTCGCAAAGACATAAGGCGCTATATCAAATGCAAGGATTATTATAATTCTAACAGTTAAATGGGAAAAGGTGAAAGTAAAGGAACACCACTTGTGCCAGGTAGCTCTCCGGCCTCCTGCATGCAAACTTTTGACACTTCAAAACCTGCACTTTCCTCACCACATTTACATTATGGTAAGTTTCTGCAGAAATATTTAAGACAAGAACTGACAAATAGCCAGAAAAATGCCAAGAACCCCCCAGAAAGCAGCGTATAATCACTTTCATGTTATAATTGGTTTGTAATTTGTTGGCATCAATCCTGATGGACAACAGATGGGTAAGCGATTACATGGGAATGAACTGAACAGATACCTGATCAACACAGTTCAGCTGGATGCTTTAACAAAGAACTCCCTCTTCAGACACCAGTAACAATTCTACTTCAAAGAGCTGTGTGAGACTCCCTTCAGAGCGTTAGAGAGAGACTCAGTTTTTTATTAACTTTATCCAAGGCTTTAACAAGGGTAACATCCAAGGGTTACATTTTCTATAATAATAATATTCTTGCATTTGATATAGTGCATTATCACGTCTTCGAGACGTCTCAAAGCTCTTCACAGAATATACTGTGAAGTGAATTGACTGTATATTTTGTGGGCAAAATGCGGCAGCCAATTGGGCACAGCAGCGTCCCACAAACAGTTGTTGATTGAGTGACGAAATTATCATGTTTTTCTAAAGGGGTTTACTTTAATAAGTGCCCAAGATTGCTACATTTTCCAATAGTCATAGTCAAATCACACAGCCTCCCCACCCACCCCAATCTTTGAAATTTTTAAAAATCATTCTACAGAACTGCATGGCTTTATAAATTAGAAGGGAGTCCATTCAACCCTGAGACCTGGTTTAGTTCTCAGATGTATTCTCTCTGTGTGAACCCTACCTGAAACGAATTCAGACTCAACACAGTTCCCATTGGGTGTGAACACAAGACTGTTGAAACCAGAAAAGTCAGTGACATATAAAATTGAGGAAACCATATTGGTGGATTAGGGGTGCTTTCTCAATTAAATCTATTCATTTTTATTATTGGGGGATGTTTACCGAGGTTGAAATTCCCATTGTTATAATAATAATCCTTGCATTTGACATAGCGCTTTTCATGTCTTCTAGATGTCTCAAAGCGCTTTACAGAATATACTGTTAAGTGAATTAACTGTATATTTGTGGGCGAAACACGGCAGCCAATTGCGCACAGCAGTGTCCCACAACCAGTTGTCGACTGAAGTGACCAATTTATTATTGTTTTTTTTTCTTGAGGGATTATTATCAGCTGTGTGGAGTAAGGAAACTTGCCCAAGATTTCACCCTGCCGGGAATCAAAACCAGGTCTCTCGCTTGTGAGGCTGAGCTACAGGTCTCCACATTGTAGTTGCAGATGGGAGTCAACTAATATGGAGAATGATTTGATAGTGTTACAAATAGAAGTGTTGGGTTTTCCAGGGCCAAATTGCTAAACACAAAAACAAATGTTCTTCAGTTTCCCTAATCTAGAGCCTTGTTACTCCTACCAATTCCTTCTATTCTTCATTATATGTGTCAATTTTGCATAATGTCACATAAAAGAAGAACTTCATTTCGGTCTGGCAAGCTTCCTGCTGCTTGAACAGTGAGGATGATCCAACCTGTTAAGGCTTTGGCCTGCACAGCTAACAGGAGCGGAGTGGGGAAATATCT